GTCCTCTTCCCCTTCCATGTGACCCTAGTCTATCAGGTCTCATCAGGACTGTCTGCATTGTCCTCCTCTGTAGCCTGGCAAGGCTGCTACCTCCTCAGGGGGAGGTGATCAGAGAGCTGGCCACTGAGTTCATGTCAGAGACAGCCCCTGCTCAGCTTGCTTATATTTTAAAAAACACAAAAAGTATATAAAGTAACACTGGGAAATCATCCTCTCCTTCATCAGCTCCAGATAGGTGACAACAGGGACTACGTGGGCTATAAACCTCCTAGCTTCTCTCCTGCAAGGACAGGGTCTCTCCAGGCCTCCCTGTTCCACCCATGAAGACCTCCTTTCTCAGTCCTGTACACACTGCTTCTTCACTTCCATCCCCTCAGGAGAATCAGGCTGCCTGTCCTGGGACTTCCAAGAAACCAACCCCATCGTCTTGGTCTTCCTTCCCCTAAACACCAAATAAAGCAAGGGAAGCAGGGAAGGCATGGCAGGGCTGCAAGAACCGTATGTCCTGGAAGAGAGGCTGCTGGGCACCCTGCTCCATCTCCCAGTGGGCCTTGACCCTGTCTGGGGCATTTCATCTCAGACAACAGGAAGATGGTCAGACCCATGGGCTACAGACCAGGTAGACTGATGCAAGCCAATTAGTCTTTTTGCCTCCCTACATCCTCTCTTTTGCGTAAGTGTCTGTGAGTGTGTGGCCGTGTGAGCACCTCCGTGTGCAAATGCAGTGCACACATGGCCAGAAGCTGACAGTGGCTTCTTATGCCAGTGCTGGGACCAAACTCAGATCCCTACTCTTACAAGATGGCTTAATTATTTTTCTGTTGTGACAAAATACTCTGGCAAAAGCAACTTAAGAATGGAAGGATTGGGGGGGGGATAGGGAATTGGGGGGGAGGTCATGCCTTTAATTTCAGTACTCCAGAACCAGAGGAAGGGTTTGAGGCCAGCCAGCGCTCTGTTACACAGAAAACCCCTATCTCGAAAAAAAAAAACAAAACAAAAAGGAAGGATTGGGCTGGAGAGATGGCTCAGCAGTTAAGAGCACTAGCTGCTCTTCCAGAGGACCAGGTTTAATTCCCAGCACCCACATGGTGGCTCACAACTGTCTGTAATTCCAGTTCCAGGGGATCTGATACCCTCACATAGACATATATGCAGGCAAAACAATAATGCACATGAAATAAAAAATAAATAAATCAAGCTGGGTGGTAGTGGTCCATGTCTTTAACCCCAGTACTTGGGAGGCTGAGGCAGGCAGAGCTCTGAGTTTGAAGCCAGCCTGGTTTATGTAGTGAGTTCCAGGACAGCCAGGACTTCACAGAGAACCCCTAGCTCAGAAATTAATTAATAACTTAAAAAAGAGAAGGAAAGGGCCAGGTAGTGACGGTGCACACTTTCAATTCCAGCTCTTGAGAGGCTGAGGCAGGTAGATTCAAGGCCAGCCTGGTCTACAGAGTTCCCAGCCAGGACTGCACAGAGGAACCCTGTTTCAAACAACAGCAAAATAAATAAATGGATTAAATAAATAAAACAAGAAAAGATAGTACGCAGACATTCCTCACAGGCGTGCTCCTCCACTTACTGGTTTTAGTTAATTCCAAATGTAGTCAAGTTGACAACCAAGAACAGCCATCACACTCTTTGAGACCTGGAACTCATGATCCTCATATGGCATCCTCCTGTGTCACAGAATTGCAGGCCTGGACCACAGTTTCTTTTGTCTTCTCATTTTAAATTATTTTGGGGGATCAGCTTCATCATCTCTCTCCCTTCTCTTCACTGGGTTTAGTTTGTTTTTCTTTTTCACATTTTACCATCTCACCCATCAGAGGTTGTGAAACCTATTTAAAATGCGCCCAAAATATCTAACTGAAGAAGGCTGAAAAGAGCACACTGACACCCGTGGAGTAACCCTATGTCGGGGCTTCCACGCCTAGTCTCAGCGCTCAGGGCCAACCCTCTGCCTCCTCCATAGCTGCCATGGCTTGGGTTAGAGACAAGAACAAATGTAGCGGGGGGGGGGGGGGGGCCCCCCCCCCCCCCCCGGCCCCTTGCCGGGGGGGGGGGGGCCCGGCGCAGGGGGCGGGGGGGGGGGGGGGGGGGGGGCCCTCCCCCGTCCTCCGTGTCCATTGCTATGAGGTGGGGTCCCAGCGAGCTGGCAGCACATGGAGTCAGCCACCATCACTCATGTGAATAGCACATGTTTAACCAGTCTGGTTGGCTTCTGGATAGAGAATGGTAAACCAGATTGGGGACAGAGCCCTTCGGCTCCTGAGAAACAATATTAGTAGGACCTGCAGCAGCTGCCGCTGGGAGTGGAGACTTCCGCCCCTTGGAAGCCCAAGGCCCTGGGGTGGTTCTGTTAGCAGCTGGCTTCCCTCCCTGGACTGCCTCTCCCTTGTCTGGACTGGGACAACTTCTCCCTAAAACAGCTTCCCTCTCTCTCAAGCAAGAGGTCAGCGAGAAGACAGCAGGCAGAAGTTAGGGGTGCTACAGAGACACTGCCAAGACCAGCCAGGTCAGAACACAGGGCCGTGAATGAGCTGGTTGTCAAAACAGACTCAAGGACAAACAAAATTCCCCAGTGCCTTTTTTGGATTTGTTGATTTAAGACGGCAATGGCTGGGTTTCTCTTTCTTGCAGATTTGAGCACTCCCCTAGACACCACCACTCACAGTGACTGCCACTTGCTCAATCAGTCTGGTCGGCTTCTGGGTAGAGGAGGGCAAACCAGCTGAAGGGGAGGGAGCCCTTCAGCTCCAGAGAAGCAGCTAGGAAGACCTGTGTCTGGGGCTGGCAGTGGGGATAGCTGTCTACCTTTTAGCCATAGTGCGAGAGTCAAGAGAAAGTGAAAGAAGATGGAGGAAGAAGAGGAGGCAGGCTGCGCAGAAGCGGAGAGTGGGCCAGGGAGGTGGCAGAAGTGAGGATTCCTCCCAGGGCAGCTGCCTAGGCCAAATTTGCTGTCTGTCTGTCTGTTTGTCTGTCTGTCTGTCTGATGAAGAGGACAGAATAGAGAGCCAGGAGAAACTGAGTATCATTTTTTTGTTGATAGCCCCCATACCCTTAGATCATTTAAAAATATTTATGTGCATATGTGTGCGCTTCAATTATGGATGGGCACCATGTACCTGTGGAGGCCAGAAGAGAGTGCTAGACTCCCTGGACTTTGGGGTGCAGGTGGGCCATCCTTTGTTGGGTGCTGGGAACTGAACCTATGTCCTCTGCAAGAGCAGCAAACACTCTTAAATACTGAGTCCAGTCCCTACTTAAATCTTTTTAAATTAACTTTTGGAAAAATCCAAGTTTGAAAGCGTATGCCTTGAAGCCATGGACAGTCCAGCTTGGCACTTCTGTAGACCAGGCTAGCCTCTGACTGCATGCTGGGGTTTTAGCTGTGCACTACCACACTTAGCCAGGGGAACTTTCTAGATGGGGCTATGACCTTTCTGATAGGAACTTGAAGGACAGGTGACCAGAATACTAAGTGCTAAGTTGTGCAATCTAGCCCACCCTATTTTTTCCCTTCCATGTAATGGATTTATATCTGATCCCTAGTCACGGTGAGCCAGTCCAGAGAAATCCCTCTCAGGCCATTCAGGTGGCTCCAGCTTCTTCCTTCAGAAGTGAAAGGCAGCCTACAATGCTCACGTGAGCTCCAACCTTCCCAGCAGAGACCTGTCTTCTTTTGCTTGTAACTGTCCCTGTAGCTAGTTCTACTGGTGATCCTGAGCCCAAGTGTTACCCTCTTCCCTCTCCCAGGAGAGCTCAGAGCTTTCATCTAAGGAGATGAAAGCGGCCTCTGCAGACAGTCGGATTTCCTGAAGTGTGTGGACAGAAGGTTTCCATGGGCAAGCAGCAGCTCATACCGAGGAGAGCAGAGTCCCTGGCTCCCTGGTGGAGATCACTTTGAGGGGGTTTCATAGTCCTCTCTACTACAGCCCTTCAAATTCTGACTTTCCAAAATGGAGGGCAGCCCTAGAAGGGGTCAACAGGATCAGGCCTCCCTCTTGCTTTGAGGAGCCTTCAGCAAGCAGTGGTGATTTACCTGTCTCTTGCGTTACAGCTGCAGGCTTACCAACGTGAGCAGACACTTACTCTTCAAGCTAGAGGATCCACCCGGAGACAGGCAGTGCCCTGAGCATTTCCTGCCACAGTCCAGCTGGGGACAGCAGCAACTGCTGGCCTCCTCTCTGACCTGCATCCAGACCCTCAGGGCACCAGACCGTGAGCTGAGGGGGAGGTAGTTCACTTTTGCCTCCTGAGGTTTATGAGGGTAATTGGCATAATAGCAAGCTCTAGGCTTTCTCCCACTTCAAAGCTCAAGGCTCATGAGTGGTTCTGGGAAAACTGAAACCAGGCTCACCCCTCCACCTTGGCTCTCTGTTGTGGAGTCTGGGTAACCAGGACTGTGCTTTCTGGAGCATGGATGTCTAGAAAAAGAAGACGATCTCAAAAGAAAGCTGGCCTTGGATGTAGAAGTAGAAACAAACAGGTCCACAGGCCTGGGTACCCCAGGGACAAGGCCAAACACGTAAAGGAGCATTTGAAGGCGCAGGAACACATGAATGCATACATGCACACACTCCTCTCACGTGGCACCTGCTCACACGGATACACACAACATGTACACATCCAGACACAGGTACACACAAATTCATACCCATGCACACACAGACATAAAGGTACATGAATAGGAACCCACAGGAGAATGTTACACAGGGGTCCCCACCAATGGCACAAATGTATTTGTATGTATACATGTATACACACACACACACACACACACACACACACACACACACACACACACACA